GATTCTGTGGTTCTGTAAGCAGGGTGAATAATCTGTTGAAGGCAGGGGATGTGTGCCGTGCCGGCTTTTCGGTTGTCACTCACGGCGCTTTGCTGTGGGATGAACCGGAGGTCAGTCACGTGCATGTGTGAAAGTTCTGAAGTGAGCTTTTTCCCTCGAGAAGGTGGCGATCTCAGGTGTTGGTGTCATTGAAGGAATCAGAGTTCGTCTGGCTGTGACTTGTAATCCTTAGGGATGCTCAAGAGCAGGGTCATGTTCTCCTTCAGATGACAGGCAGGAGGGAGCGGGGATTAAAACTGCTTGACTGGCAGCTTGAGATTAAAACTGCTTGACTGCAGCTTGGTGGCACAAGCACTTCTCATGCGAATCTCAAATCCATTTTTCACCAAATGCTCTTACACCTAACTTGTTGCAGCCCTTTAGATACCCGTTCCCCCATAACTTCTAATCCCCCCTCCCCGCAGCACGTGCCAGGGTACCTCATGTTGTCTCTTGTGGATGAAACCATCGAGGCGGTCGTCGCGGGCCTAAACACAGCCACCTACCAGCGTCCTCTGACACCGCGGGCTCCCGCTAGGCAGAAAAGAAAAACAGGTAAGGGCGTCGGACGCTTTCCCCAAGAGTAAAAGCTTTGGGAAGATAAGCCTGGATGGCACCGAATACTTTTGGTCCGCTTTATGCTCCCACATTGATATGGCTTCATGAGCGTACCCCGTGCGTTTTCTTCTTTCCCCGCACTGCCTCTGCCCGCAAATGTCTCAGAGGTCGCTCTTGAATAAATCCCAACGGTTTTCCCTTTTTCTGCTCTGCTGTTTTGTACCGTTGCAGCAGGCTGTGCGTCTCTTTGAGCCGCTTCGTGCGGCGGGAGGGGGATGAGAAGGGGAGCAGGGGGTAGAGAGCGGCGTCAGCACTTAGCCGACTGCTCGGTTGTCTTGTCCCTTCAGGTAGGAGGAAGAAAGTAGGAGGCAAAAAAAGAACTCAGAAAAAATCTTCTGCTGGGAAAAAGAGCTCAGGACCGCTGAAGAGGCGCAAGCGTCTGATAAAGAAGAGAAGGGGGAAAAAGCTGAGAGTAAGATCCCATGTGAGTTCCTGCCAGCATCAGCCGCTTTTCAACCATCCATAAAAGCATTCTGAGAGGAGATTTGATGGAAAAACCCCTGTTTCTTAAGGATAGCAGATAACTTCTTTTAAAAAAAAACACAAATAGAGACAGTAAGTGCACAGCACTTCTGCTACTGACGGTAGTGACCTGCTGAGTGTAGTCACCTGATGATTGTACTCAGCCTAAGCAAAGAGCTCAGGCCTTTAAACTTAGGGTCCTTGCCTGCCCTAACGTACAAATAACCCAGCCCCTTCCTCCGTGCAGGTGAAAAACGAGGTTACTGCTCGCTCGCGTATTGCGAGAACTCTCGGCCTCAGCAAACCCGTGCGTGGGGGCTCGCTCCCCTCCATGTACAAACCAACGGAGCCCTCGCTGGGGATGATGAGAGCAGACGTCGGCGCCGCCTCTCTCTCCGTGTTCGGAGACCCGTATGAGTTGGATCCATTTGAAAGGTGAGTGGTCTCCAAACAGCCGGGACTTTCCCTTCCAATGCCTGAAGGGAACTTACAGGGAGGCTGGGGAGGGACTTTGTGCAAGAGTGTGCAGCGACAGGACAATGGGAAATGGGTTTAAATTGAAAGAGAATGAGTATTTAGATTGGATCTCAGGAAAAAATTCTTCAGTCCGAGGGTGGCCAGACTCTGGACTAGATTGCCCAGAGAAGCTGTGGCTGGCCCCTCCCCGGAGGGGCTCATGGCTGCCCCCTCCCTGGAGATGTTCAAGGCAGGTTGGATGAAGCCTTGAGCAACCTGGGCTGGTTGAGAGGCGTCCCTGCCCATGGCAGGGGGTTGGGTTAGATGATCACCAAGGTCCCTTCCAACCCCAGACGTTCTAGGATTCTCTGAATTTCACAAATATCGGGGCCGTTCGTACACGTGCCTTTTTGCAGAGCACAGATCTCGTGCCGGAGGCTCGTACCAACGCGTCGGCCGGTTCTTTCTTCTCTTGGTGGCCGAGGTGCCAAGCTCTTCAAGAATCAGCCTTCTCCAAAGAGGTTTGCTGAAATAATGAGCCTCGTGAAAACCTTTAGTAAGATCTGTGGGGTTATTCGAAGATATTGCTCCTTCAGATTCTAGCCTATTGTTATTTCTTTTTATTTTAACTGAATAGCTCTTCAGTTGTTAACATATTTGGTATCCTATAGAGTGACTTCATTTATAATTTAGTGGATCTGTGGAGTCTTCTACATTTCTCCCTTTCTCATCTAAACTTTTACAGACACTTGAAATTCAGGAGAAATCTCCCTGTGCTATGGTTTGTGTCACTCTTAAGCTTTGGATTTCAGGAATTGTAGTTGGTGAAACTTCTTTTTCTTACCAAATAAGTCTTTTCGATCCTTTCCTAAAAGGAAATTACCCATTTACTATTTTAAAAATGAAAATCAGCATTCGAATCTCTGCTGGCTGAGTTTACGCTGTTCTATTTATGAAAATAAATATGTTGCATGATTTATTTTTTAACGTATCATAATGAACCAAGTAGTGCTCTCTGATCATATCTATCCCAGTAGTGTTATCTACTTCCTTTATTTGACATGAAAATACTCAGTCCGGTTCAGGGTTCTTGTGTTTGTGTGTTTTACTCACAGTACCGAAGAGGTTCCAGCAAATCCGGATTCACCGATCAGTGCCAAAAGGAGAATTCTCTCCCAGTCAGCACTGAGGTCTCACTGTCCTGTAGCAAGACCTATTTCTGTGGGACTTCCCAGGTAAAAATCCATCAAGTTCCTTGTTTTTCATTTCTCTTAATTGTTTACTGGCTCTAACAAAAGAGGAAACTGGGTGATTACCCTGGTTTAAGTCCTTTCTTACCCCGAGTATTTTGAAGCACTGTGTCCCTGTGCCCTGTGTGTAGATAAATAACCCCAGCTCTGACCATTGCATTGAAATTCCACGTTGCTATTTCCACCCCAATCTGGCTGCTGTTGCTTTTTGCTTTGGGGTTGTTTCGTAGCCCCACTAATACATTTTTAAATCCCAGAAGAGAAAACCACACCAAAACCGCTCCAACCACTCAGTCAGTATTTCAAGAACCGTTTTCATAAGGCGGAGTCACGCGTTAAGTGTTTGTGTTGTCCTGTGTGCAGGAGTGTTGCTGCTGGTTTTCAGCGTAATTCCTCCTGAATTACACCTGACAGGTGCTAAACACTGCTGCAGACTGCACCGATATTTTTAAAAAGCGATGCAGGCCTGAGGAATACACCTGTGACCATGAGTTAGTGGGGGGGAAGGAGAGCCAGCTGGGATGGAAATGTCTGCGAAGCATTGAGCTGCAGTTTGCACTTCCAAAACACGTCTTAAAATGCGCCAGGAAGTTAATTTTGACCCCCAGCCTTAAATAAAGTTGAAAGCTTTGGCTTCCCAAAGGTCTCTGGTACGGTTCCGTGCTTTCCTAGCCTGCGGTGTTCCGCTGGGAAGGCACTGAAAGCTTCACCTCCTGCTTGTCAGAGAGAGGTGGGGACCAAACTGAGTGAACTTGCCTGGCTGACCTCTGTTCATGCCCTCGGTTTTGATTTCTTTCTAATGTAACGCGCAGAAGCAGCGTCCCTGCCTTGAGTCCTGATCAAGAAGCAGAAGCAGCCCCCGTGCCCGATGTGTTGGGGAGTATCCTGTCGGGACAGAGCTTGCTCATGATGAGCAGTTCGGACGTGGTCATCAACAGAGACGGTTCGCTGACGGCGAAGAAGACAGGTGAGGGTTTGGCGCTTCCAAGCGCAATTCACCTCCTGCCTTTGTCCGTGGCTGCCCTGATCCTGCAGGCTGCGTGGCTTCCAATTTTTAAATTTTTAATTCAGGACTTGCCAGCAGCGATCCATCCAGATAGATTATTCTGCGTAATCTGGAATAGTTTAAATGGCAGAGCTGAGGTGTTAGAGTTTTGAGTCTAAATAGGGACTTTTCCCCTTTCAAAAGGACTAGGCTCTCATTTCCTGCTCTTTTCTGAAAAACAATAGAGCAGAGAGATCTCGGTGCTGGTTCTTCGGGCACTTGTTGTGTGTTGCTGCCGTGCCCGTGAGCTGTACTTGGGTTCAAAGAGCAGCACCGAGGGCCTTGGTGAGAGGTTTTTGTGCCAAAGCGGAGCCGGCAGCTGTGCCTTTCCCTTGGCGCGGCATTATTTGGGAGGAAACTCTTCAAGTTGAAGCTTAGCTTCATTCTTAAAATAAGTACCCGTGGCATCTCTGTTGTAGTCGTTGTAGGGCTGCCTTATTGGCGTGTGGTTATGTCTGCAGATCCAAGTGGAACTTGAAACAATTAGCTGCGTGTTTTTAACGTTGCGGGGAGCGGGGCAAACGTCTGGGTACTCTCAGAAAAGCTGAATTGTTTGCTTGTGTGCTATAGCTCCACTTCACAGAAAACTAGCGAACGACTCGAGAGTGGATGATGGTTCAGGACACGACTCCCAGCTGAGCACGGTGCACTCAGGGACCTCGGCAAGCAGCTCCATTTCTGGACCTTCATTTTCCCCGGGGCTGAGCACTCCCACCAGACCCTCCTCCTCCTCCTCATCCTCCTCCTCCTCCTTCTCCTTCCCCTCCTTCGCCAGCTTTTTTTCGTCGCCTTCGCCCTCACCGAGCGGGATGGAGCCAGCAGCAAGCCCCGCGCAGGCAACGTTGGAAAGGGCGGCTGTAAAATCGGAATATTCAATGACACCCAGGTCTGTTCAGGCTCAGAATATAGCTGCTCTGAGCAGGCATGGCTCCAAGCCAGACGAAATGCCCAGATTTAACGGCAACTCAAAAAACTTTGCACCCCTTGCCTCCTTTTCGAAGTCTCTGAGCCCTAACTCGACTTCTGGCTCAAAATCTCTAACTGTGAGGCAGCCGTTAAAACCGCCTCCCAAGAGAATCGACATCTTCGAGCTTCCCAGGATACCAAAGATTAAAAAAGAAACCGATGGCAAGCAGACGGAGCCGGCACCCACAGGAAGCCAAAGCTGTGACATCCCCAGCTCCTGTGTAACCCAGCTGACCGGCAAAGAGAGCACCCAGCAGCCAACGAGGGGTGGCAAGGTGGAAAGTCAAAAATCCAATGCCAAGGAGCCTCAGCAGCAGGCGCGTACGAGCGGGGGGTCTTTTCCTGCCAACACGGGTGTCTATGGCAGTTCCTCGCTCCTGGGCACTTCGAGGAGCAAAGGGCCGGGCCCTTTTGAGAGTTTTAAAATCAATATCCCTGGAAACACGGGGCACCCCGGCAGACTGTCTAACCCGGGGTTTTGTAACACCTTCCGCCCCGTGGATGACAAACAGAAAGAGAGTCCTTCGCCTCTTTTCTCGGTGAAGAAAAAGCAGGTCAAAAGCGAAATCTATGATCCCTTCGAGCCAACGGGATCGGACTCGAGTTCAGCAAGCAGCAGTCCAGAAAGGCTGGGCTCAGGGATCCCGCTGACTAATATCACCAGGACTATTTCCATTGAAAATCCCAGAGTTCAGACGTTTCAAACCGTCCGTCGTTTCACCCCTTACACGCTCGAAAATATATTTGACTCCGGGACTGACTCGGACGTACCGTCTGTTAACGAGAAGTCGCACGAGGACGGGTCGGTGGGAAGCAGGATCGTGGAGCAGATCTCCGATACGGAGGAACGAGGCGATGTGGATGAGGACGACTTCCTGAGCGGTCCTTGCACTTCATCTGCTGTGAAGCGGATTTCTAACGCGGAGGGTTTGAAGGAGGAGAGCAGAGAGGGCCCCAACGTGTTCTTCAGTGCCCAAGAGCTGGTTAGACCCAATATTAACGTGAGGCTAGAACCAGATAGTAAGGATGACGGGCAGCAGAAAGTCCCAAAGGTAGAACAAACGGAGAGGTGGTCGCGTTCCAGATCCCGTTCAAACTCCAGCTCCCAAAGCAAGAAGGCGGCGAAAAGGAAAAAGGTTCTCGTCAAAAAGCGTAAGAGATCCCGCTCGGGGTCTAGGGATAGAGCGCCCTCGAGGGACCGAAGCTCCAGATCTACCTCTTGGTCAGGTGGCGAAGAGCACAGCAAAACCCACACGTCGAAACCCAAGAGGAGGAGATCTTCTACTGACCGTTCCAGCAGTTGTGAGCGATCTAAAAAAAAGAAAGCGAAGGACAAAACCAAGGATAAAAAGGCGAAAACTTCTTGCTCTAGGGAGAAAAGGAAATCTAGGTCCCGTTCGGGTAGTCCTGGAAGCCCTTCCGAGTTTTATGAAAACAGGAAAAAGAAAAGACGGTCTTGGTCGAGATCAAGACGGAGGGAACGCTCCCGGTCAAATAGCACGGAGAGGACTAAAAGGCGGAAGCACAGGAGAGACAAAAGCTATGAGAGATATGAAAAAGACGGTAGCTTGAGGTCAAGGGACAGAAAGAGGTCGAGATCCAGGTCTCGGGAGAGGAGAAAGTGGAGGTCTCGGTCTCGGTCCGCGTCTCGATCTCGGGAGCACAAAAGCAGCAAATCGAAGGAGAAAAAGCCTCGCTCGAGATCACGTTCCAAAGAGAGAAAGCGCAGATCAAAAGAGCCCTCGCTTTCTCCCCCACCAGAAAAGGAGCCAAAGCCTCCTGTTGAAAACGTGTCCTGGTGTGTGGAGCAACCCCATCCCATCAAACAAGAGCCGAAGGATGAGCTGGCACTGGAAGAGTTTTCCATAACCATCCAACCGAATGTCAGACTTGCGGAAACACAGACTGAGCCCCCGCTTCAACCGAGAGAGGCCCAAGAAACTCTGATAAAAGTAGAGCCTGCCTGGGAGGAACCCGGCAGCGAAACCGCTTTCCCCGTGCCAGAGATCGCTGGCCTTCGCGTTCCGATGGGCGACACGGATCCTTTTGCCGAGCTGGGATTCCTGAGCGGCAGCGAGCCGGCGGCGCTCGGGAGCTGCGGCAACACAAACCTCGAGATCAAGGTGAAAATCGAAAACACCGCCTTGAGTCCGTCGCTGACAGAACCCGCCCCGAAGATGGAAGTTACCGTGCGCGCTCCGACCGAGGCGACCTCGGTTCAGGGCTCGTCAAAAAGCCAGGGAGCCGATGGCGCGCAGGAGGTTCGAGAAGAGCGCCTCGTGTCGTGGGGGCAGAGAACCGGGCAGTTTGGTACGCCCGAACTGGAGGTGGTACCTCAAGGGCCAACGTTGAAATCAAACACGCCGGTGAAGAGAGTCACCTGGAATCTTCAGGAGGAGGCAAGCGACGACGCGTTGGCTGTGGATAAAGCTCCACGTAAGTCTCTCTTTCAGAAAGCGGAGGGTGGTAAGTCCTCTGTTATCTGCTTTAAAATGTTAACGCCTGCTAAACAAAAGCTTTGCTGTTACTTTCTTCTCGTTTTCATTTATTTAAAAGTATAATTGGCTTTGAACCTTCAACCCGTTTAGTTTCTCTCAGTGTTTTCTTCTCCTTCTCTCGGCGAACCCAGGGCTGCCGTTCTACAAACTTCAGCGAGCGAAAGAAGGCGCCTGGAAGGCGGAGGACTTGAACCAAACATTAAATCAGGTGCAGTTCAATGAGCCACTCCTCCAGGCAATTCTGTGATTCCTGAACCTACGTTTTCGACTCTTACGGTCGAAGAAGCACTTTTTTTAAATTCTCTTTGCATAATTCCTGCTCTACACACACAGCAGATCATCTCATTCCCAATACAGGCTTCTCTTTTTTACGAAAATTCTTTGCGTTTCGCAGGTGTACTGTCAACCTATCCCTCTGACGCCGCCTCTGCCCTCGAGCCTGCCGCCCTACGCGCCCGTCAGCCAGCCCACGGTTCAGTTCATCATGCAGGGGAGTCTTCCAGCGCTCGGCTGCGCCACGGGACAGAGCCTCACGCCGGAGCCCGGCAGCCTGGCCACCGCCTCGGAACCGGGGATCCAAGCCGCCTCCGTGGGAAGCGGGGAAGAAAAGAACAAAGCGCCCAAACCCCCGATGGATAAAATGAAAAACGAGGAGGTGAGCGATTGCTGTGGAGTAGGAAATGCGTAATATTGAGCTGTTCATTCAAATTTGGGAAGTTTGGGGGGGTTTTTAGCTTTCCCAGCCTCTTGGTGCCTGTTGGTTTTGGTGATCGACCACGAATTCGGGAGCAGGCAATCCTTTCTCTGAGTTCTGGGATTTTCTGCTTTTGATGGTTCCACTTCCTGCTGCCTCATTGCAGGAAGGCAGAGAGGGATTAAAGCGTCAAAAGCGCGTTCTTAAAGTTGTGAAACTTTCTCATGTGAGTGTTCAGGAGGGACTCTCTAGAAGCCAGAATGTCCAAATTTCTTAAAGACCCTGTTTTCTCCTTTCCCCTCCAGCTTTGAAATTTAATGTCAATTCTCAGAGCAGCCCATTAGAGAGGCAGGACTGCAGCTTGGTGCTCGTCGGCGCTGAAAAAGCAGAGATAGTAAAATCTCCTGGAGGTTTTGCAGTGCCACTGAGTTTTGGGGTTGCTCCGCTCTAAGCGCAGCGGACGTTAACACAAGAACCAAAAGCTCTCGGCCAATTCTTTGACTTTTGACCACAAACGAAACTACTTTCCCGACCCAGCCTCCATTCACGAGCAGAAGTTTTTAGGAGCTTCTTTTAGTAGAATTGGATCATCCATAGCCCTTAATTTATAGGCAGCTCTGCCATTTTCGGAATACCTTTAGCTGAAGCTTTATACGTGCGACTTTTAGAAACCGGTGCCTTTGGATGGGTGAATATTTGCTTCAGAGCTGATGGAAGGGAAGGAGGAGACCAAAATTAAGAAGTGGCCGTCGTAGTCACTCGCTTAAAACACACCTAGGATAAATGTTTTGTAAAACAAGGGTTGCCCGTAGCGCGAACCGGGGTTTGTTTCCTGACTTAAGGGCAAAGGAAATTGCTTTGAGGCTCGCTCTTACTCGACTCGTTGGAATTGTGAAATGAGAATTTTCGTAGCGTGTTCCTAAGAAGGACACACACACCAAAAAAAATCGGCTCAGAAACCATTCCTGAGCACAAGGTAACAAACTTCTCTTTGCCACGCAGTACATGAAGAAGCTTCACATGCAGGAGAGGGCCGTGGAAGAAGCGAAACTTGCCATTAAACCTTTTTACCAGAAGAGGGAGATCACGAAGGAGGAGTACAAGAACATCCTGCGCAAAGCCGTGCAGAAGGTGAGGAGGCGGCAAAGAACGCGGCGGGACTTGGGCATCGCCACCTTGGGCAGCTCCGTGCTGGAACCGAGGAGCAGATCTTTGGACTCTGCCTCGGACTCGCGATGAAGCAAGAGCTGCTTTAGGCGAGACTGAGGCGAGCTCTCAAAGATCACGTTTTCGGTGCTCCGGAGCTTAAGCCTCCTGAGCTGAAGCGCGGGTGAGAACGGGCAAACTGCTCTCCGTAAGAACTTTGGCCGGAATCGTCGAGGCGTTTTCTGATAAAGTGAGAAAATAACTTTTTGTGGCTAATTCCTTGAGCGTTCGAGATGTCCCTGAACTTTAGAAGAGGGCCTTGGCGATTTGGCCGGTGTTGACTTTTGACTCAAATCTTAGCGCCGACCAGATTGCGGCTGAAAAAGCCCCGCTCAGCAGGTCGGCGGCGTCTCGTGAGAGCAAGCAATGCGAGGCAGTTAAGCGATAGCCCGGACGATTGTATTTTCTCTCCCTGCTCTGCGTTCTTGCTGTCCCCGAGAAATTCTGTCGTAAATCAAAATTCCTGAGATAACGGCTGCAGTTTAACATTTTCTACATGACCCATATGAACCTCGAGTGTGGTTTGTAAGAGCCAAGCGACACCTGCTGAAGGCGATGCCAGCTCTGGCCACTGATAGAATTCTTTGTGGGGGCCGTTCTCTTCCTCCCGTGTCTCTAAACAGGCCCTGGAAACGAGGCTCGTAAAATCTGAGCCTCGCTTCCTCAAAATCGCTAGCCGGCCGAGAAATGAAAACTTTGGGTTTGTGGAAAATGGGCTGGCTGGAAAAAAACTCGTCGAAACGAGTAATTCTGCTTTCAGGGACACTTCTGCATTCGGCTGGTGCTGGGTAGGTAAACCCCGGGCTGGTTTCTGGAATGCTTGAAAGAAAACACGACTCTTCTCCTCGTTGGCCTTTTCTGTTTTACGCGTCCCCCTGCGAGGGGCGACGCTCCCGTCCCCTGCAAAGTTTCAGGCTCATTTGTCTTGTCACCAGCTTGAGCCGCCGTAACGCTGTTAATTGACCAAATCCCCTTTTCTAATTAATCCCTTGTAGATCTGCCACAGCAAAAGCGGAGAGATCAACCCGATGAAGGTGGCCAACCTGGTGAAGGCCTACGTGGAGAAATACAAACACATGAGGAAACACAAGAAATCCGACGGCGAAGACGCGCGCGAAGAAGAGAACTGAGAACGGGCCGCGGCTCGGACTGAACTTATTTTGGCCGCGAGCATGTTGCTGGAGGGAATAACAGAGCTGCCGTTGCATCTCGTTGAAAATAAGATTTATAGTAGGGCTTGACCCGCAGAACCTTCTTTCGTTTCCATATGGGAATAAGCTTGGGTTTGGGGTTGTTTGGGGGTTTGTTTCTTTTTTTTTTTTGGTTCGTTCTCTTCGTTTGTTCTTTTGTTTGATTTACCTACAGACGTAGAACTAAATAACAATCAAACGCCTCAAACCAGCAGAGTAATTCGAGGGGTGACGGGAGAGATTGAAGTTTGGGACTCCTCCCGGATTGCCACTGTTTTCAGGGTTACTTTGGTCACATTTTTGGGCTGTGCCTCCCCAAGTTTGAAACTGGACCCCAGTTTTCCACACGCAGTCCGTTTGAGAGCTGTGTTACGGTTTCCTTTCGTGTTTATTTATCGGGATACGGATTGTCTTTAGAAACTTCTGATTTAATACTTGAAACATTGTCTTTTGGAGCCTGTTCGAGGGCGAGCGACGCTCGATCATTTGGGGATTGCGGAAACGACCCGACCTTTCTAAACCGCCATCAGAAATGCCGCTCGGGACGCGGCGGTCACTTACGTTCTGTTGGAAGTCTCTTTGTTAGTGAAAAAGTTTCGTTTCGGGGCGGGGAGACTGTGTTGCACTTCTGTAAATAATGCACTGATGGCTGGTTTTGTGTCTGCCTTTCAGGAGGGGGGAAAACAAAACGAAACAAAAAAGCGAGCGTCTTGACCTCTCAGCAGCAGGCCGGAGGGGTGAGGTTGAACCGATGTACAAAGCAGAAATGTGACAGAATTTATAAAGTTATTTTGAACGGTTTTAGCCCTGTAGCAGGTGTTGTTTGTTTCTTAACACCCTCATTTTTCACTCTGTCCGAACCCGCTCGGCTCACGCATCGGGAACACCGTGTTTCTAGAAGAGAATGGAGCTGGACGGACGGTTGTTCCTGTCGGGAAGCCAGGGGAGGTTGGAGGTAGCCTTGCCGCTTCTCTTCAAAGAAAAAAACAGTCAGAGAGGGTGGGTTTTACAAAGCAAATAGCTCCAGCTCTTCATTTTATTTATTTTTTCCCTTTGATCCCTTGCTGCCGTTCCTCACGTTTCGGCAATCTCTGATTTCGATGGTTGGATTTTTGGCTGCGCGCTGTGATTTTTGTGGCTGGGGTTCCGAGCAGCTGGTTTAATTTTTATTTTTATTTAAACAAAATGTTTCGCTCCCGGCCCTCACCATCCTACAGAAAGGTTTGCGGGGTTGTTTCCCTGTATGAAAGAGCAGCCTGGAGGGAGTGAAAGGGGTCGGTGACTTTGGGCTTGGAAATACAAACATTGCGGAGGGGTTTTGTTGCCACGGAAGTTTCTGAACTTTATTTTGACCTGTTGGCACGAGAACAGGAGAACGTGATCACGTCGTGAATACACTTTAGGCTGGAAATCGGACACCTTTGGATGTTCCAGAGGAATAATTCCGGCTAAACCTGCCCTGTGTGAGTGAAAAGAGGGGAGGTGGCGTGGAAAAACAAAGCTTGACCCAGTAATAGAAGGGACTGCAGGAAGACGACACCTCCTGCACGTGCTTTTTCTCCGGCGTTACGTGAACAAGAACGTGCTGGTTCTTCCATTCCACCTGCCCTTAAAAATAAATCCAGCGGATTGGAAGCTGCCCCTTGGGAGAGGCAAAATGGGAACAGTACCTAAAAATGCTTCTGCCACCATGTTCTAGAAAACGAAGTTTCTGCTATGCTGTGTGTACTGCTTGTGTTCTTTTTATTTCTGGTTGACCTCAGAGCAGATGTTGCCACCTGTTTAAGGGAAGAAATGTTATTTTTTCCCATCTTATTCAGTAGTTTGGTGTCGGTATAACCTCTCGTTCGTGTCCTTTGCCCCTTGAGCGCTCGTGCCACAAGCTCCTTTAGCCCAGGCTCAAAGAAGTTGCCTCAGGAGCTCCTCTGCCACCACCTCTGTCTCGTTGGTGACCCCCAGAGCTGCTCTCGGGCCATACCCGTGGCCTGAGTGCCTGGCCAGAGGCTCTCGGACGGAGCTCCTGCTCGGAGGATGGATGGAGAAAGCGAGGGTGGGGTTCCCTGGGGAGGCGGGGAGCAAAAACGAGAGGAGGAAACGAAACGGGGAGGCTGAGCATCGGGGAGGATCCCACTGGTGTCCGGCACCGCAGGACCATGACCCAGCCTGGAGCCCGTG